ATTGTAACATGTGTAGAAGTTGGGTCGATGTTCTCACTGCTGTTGGAGTGAGGTCAACTTTTATAGAGCCTGGCCGTAGCCAATTCGCCTACGGGACTACGTCCCAATGACAGCACGGGTGCGCGATCTGGACGCAAACTTGGTCCAAGAGCGGTATCTTGAACGCTGGCGCTGTTGGGTCCATACCCCACATGGGTGACACTTCAGGGACGTTCATGGTCAAAGCCTTCGTTGGCGTTGTCTGCACTCTGAGGAGCCGTCTGCTTCCACTACATCCGCCTGCGTTGGCACGACGAGGGGCACTTGGGTTGAGATGGGTGCAGCTTGACACGCAGCCAGCAAACGCTGTTCGCCAGTCAACGCAGCAGCAGCGGGACCGCAATCAGGCCTCTCAGTCTGGCTGCGCAGAGGCATCTTGCTCTTCCATAGGATCACAATGCCGTGCGATAAGTCGAAAGTCCTCCACCTTCACGTCTTCTTGGGGCACAGCCTCAATCACTCAATCATACTCAATCACTAGTTCGAAGATCAATTTGCAGCAGGCGAGATCAGCAATGTGCCATGGGGCTGTGCCCAAACGCCCGGCCGACTCTCTGTCGTCCTCGAACCATCGATCCAAAGAAGAACCTCTAGAGGTGATGTTTCAGCAACATATGACATATATCCTGTATCCCCGACGCTCATGGACCCTCCTAAGTAGGGGCCGGCCGGACCCTCCTAAGTAGGGGTCCGGACCCTCAAATAGGGTTTTGAGGGACCAAGAGCTGTTTGGAGCGTCTGGGATATATATATGCACTTGAAGAAACCCTTGCTCCGTACAGGCTGCTTTTTGTCAAATCAGCCCGTGCCCTATGACTGAAAAGGCATGCAAGCCCCACTAGACCTGTGTAGTGCTTCAAGCACTTAAGAAACTTTACCCAAGCACTTATGGCTCCCTTCCACGCGCTCCTGACTGGCTCAGTGACACTGTAAGAAGTCTTCCAGAGCACAACGAACAGGGCACTGGGAAAGGGGGGGTAATGTGAGTGTGGTCTGGGCTTGCAATGCCGTATCTAGATAGATGCTAGTTGCATTAGGACAGGAACACCTTCCTTTCGTGAGTAGTTGGTCAATGGTGGTGCCATTTCTGTACGCTGTAGAGGCACCACATCTGCGGAAATTGTAAGGGTTAAATTAAAAGGAAGCTGGGTGCAAACAGGCTACACTTTGATGCCACCGAGTCATAAACTCATATCAGCTACCTGTCCAACAGTTGCCAGGCTTGGTGTTCTTGAGAAAGCATTTCAGGGATTTGATGCAGGTAGACTCTGCGAGCTCTACCCGTTCCAACGAGGGGAGTTTCCTCTTGACTTGCGACGTGGATAGGAATAAGATAGCTTTGTCTTTTTCCAGTATCACGTGCTCACGTTGAAGAACCGGCAGTTCCCCCATTCTCAAGAAAGCTGCAAAGGCAACTATCAGCCAATATGTAAAGGTGGCTGGCCCCACATCAAAGATTTCAAAAACCAGCAAAGTTGGAGGAAACGTCTGGAATCATCATAGGCTTCTTTGTACCTATTCTCAGTATTTTGTGAAGCAGCCTGATTGCGTAAAGTTTTGCTTCTTTTCCTCTCTTCGGCTCTTCCTCGCTTCGTATGGCGGCTCTGTACTTGAGGTGCCTTACGGGGCGTGACGCCTGGAAGGTTCACCCGCTGGGTTTCGATCGCCCTCAACCCAGCCTAAGATTGGGATGATTCCTCCGGCCAACTGCAGCGCGCCATACCTCCTCAGGAGCCGGTTTAGGATGCGAGACGGTGATCGTCCTTTGACGGCCACCGCCAGCACCAATCGGCTGTCGACTAAATGCAAAGCTCGACAGCAACCAATTTTTGAACTGCGCAACCTCCATGCCAAACTTGACACTAAAGCCTTCATCTCCAGAACATATTTGTGTTCCGGAAACAGAAAAGCAAAACTTTGCCCTTCGTGCCATTGCCACCGATTCACATCAGTGTCTGCTCGTGGACACGAGTCAGGCCTGTAGAGGCTGCCGAGGTCTAAGTGAACGCCAGATCCCCTGTATTCTTGCCTCTACAAGCCTTGTGCTCAGATGTTTCTCCTCCTGAAGATGCTCCTCCTCCGTTGGGTAGCACTCGAGGATGTCATTCAAGGCCTTGAGCAACTCCTCACCTGCCAGAGTCTCGGTGGCACTTTCCTCGTCTTCCTTACGGTCACGGCGGGTCTTTGTTGCTTCAAGTAGACCTGCGCCCTCTTTAGCTGGCTCTTCGGCTTCCTCCTCCAACTTAACCTGCAGGAAACCTTGCATTGACTCATTGACATGGGCTTGCGCAAGAGTCACTGGTCCTCTGCCCTTCCGCCTCATGGCTCTTAGGAGTTGGTCAAACAGAAGGGGCCAGCGTCGTCACATGGAAGGAGGGTCAGTCTTTGAGTCCCTTCCGTACCTGAGAATTGCAATAAAGTGAACCATGATAAAAACCGTCATTGAATGGGAATCAAGCCCACATGCCCTCCCTGAAAACCAATGGTCAGGCTGGTCAGGTCATTAGCTTGTATCCTACCCAACTGGTCCCTACACCTCCCAGTACCTTCTCAAAAGGTACCCTCCAAACCCACCCCAAACACCTTCTCAGAAGGTACTTGGAGGCCTAGGGGGTATCATCCGTGGCATTCCGACATTCTCCGATTTGACGCAGTCTCTGTCATGGCCATCCCTCAGTTGGCCCTCCTCCGGGCGTGCAGCGCAAAGCAGGCTGCCCTGCACACCGGGTCACCAGCGTGGTGAGAAATATCAAGCACATCAACAATAGGTGCCAAAATGACCGAAACACCGTGGGTAGTTACACAGGTAGAAGCACTGCAGCCAAGTGGGGGGCTACTGGGCCTTTTCAGAGCAGCTCGGCTCGGGGTGAACTTTATTACACATGTCTTGCACATTCTTGCACACATACACAATCAAATTCAGTGGGCCTTGTGCCTTCGAACCGCACCTCCAGCAAGGCAGGTCGAGGAGTGCAAGGGGAGTCTGTAGTGACTCCAAACCAATATAACCAATTCAAAGAACCTATCAAAACAGAATAGACCTGCGCGCAAAGTGGGACTCCAAAACCAGCACACGCACGTCAACTTACTTACGCGCGGCCTGCCCGAACAACAGCTCAATAAAATATTAATACAACATATCAATGAGTAAAGATCCTTCACACTCCATATCCACATCTACCAGCCACCATTCTCCGTCGGGTCACCCAGGATACCAGCTATGGCAAGCAAAGCCAACTGGGCCACAGAGTAGACACTGCACCGTTCGTGTACATGTTCTCTCAAAGAAGCCTTTGATGTCTATATATGAGTATATTATATGAGTGCTATATACTTCTCAGAACTGTGCAGCAAGTCTTATTATTGCTTTCCCTGTTGACACCGTTGATCTGTATTCAAGCTCTCTCTCTATATATATATATGTATACATATATTCACCTGACAAACACATGAAGAGAGGTTACTCCAAAAACAGATTTAGTGCAGTTTCCATATGGTGCTCGTGTCCTTTGTCCTCCACAGAAAAATCAAATAAACTATGGATCCAACTATATTCCCCATCCTCCACCGCCAACCATTGAGACTTCGCTCCAGTTGGTCTTCCGACTTCACTGCGGAACCAGCCGCGGCGGTTCACCTGCCGCGCCTCCCGAAGCACTGCTAAAGGTTCGCTCTGCAACGAGGCCTCCGAGCGCACCTGACGCCGTGGCGAGGCCCACTACGTCGGTGGTGCGCTGTGCGCGCACGACGTAGCCCTCCGGCCCGCAAGGTACCCCTGGCCCGGCAGACAGACGAAGCCATAGACCCTGAAACTCACCCTGTGGAAGACCATGTTCTGAATACCAATCCCACGGGTTTTGAGAGTCCATGTTAATCTGCAGGTGGGTATGTTGATGAACATCAAGAAGTTGGAACATGTGGGAACATAGCGGATGAAGTTGCACCTGGTTTTTGACTGAACCTTGCGGTCAATCTGTAGAACTGGATTTGAACCAGTGTCGGAAACATTGTGCCTAGCTCCTGCAGCGGTTCAAACTGAAGTAGAATGATCTTTCACGTAGAATCATTATTTCCCTAATGACACGTCAAACACATCATTTTACCGGACGTGGTCATACAAAAACACTATATATATGCTACTATAAGGAGGTACCATAACTTGTCTTACTGGGTCAGACTGGACTTGGGTTCAGATCCTGCTCTTGCTTCACCGGTCTTCGCAGTGATGGCGCCACGCGCGTCGAGGCCCGCGCGGGTCGATGCCCAGGTGTCCGCACGAAAACGAAGGTGTGGATGACCTTCCAGTGCTCGCAGTTGCACCTGATACGTACCAATTGCTAGGTTGGAGACCAGCACCTTTTGGTTGCACCAAAAACAGGAGCGAACAGGTTGAGACCCCGTGGCGTGGCGTGGCTCGTGTTGGCATGACAGGGGCGGTTGTAAGGGGCGGTTGTAAAAACATAAACATGTTGTGGGAAGAAAACACGAACCCATTTAACTTAACCGTGTATACATTTATTGTATATTATATTATATTATCATATACCGTGGAGACCCTATATGAGTCAGCGTCAAAAATATATGCTTGGAGTGTTTTCGTTTCACTTTTGTCAGTCCCCTATCGTTTTCCATGGTTTTGGGTTTTGCAAGTATGAACATGAGTACCCTATCGTTTTCCATGCTTTTGACCCCCCTCTTGCGAACAGCAGCACACACACATGCACATGGACCAACCTGCCAGGTCTAGGGTAGGGGTAAAAAACACAGTGACAAGCGGTGCCAGGAGGATTTGCCTCTCACATTGCATGTAAATAAGAACTGGAATCTGCACAGCCTTGGTTAACATGCATTGAGAGCCCCCCAAATCCACAACGCGACTGCTAGCAACAGGATATATCCGATCCAGGAAGCCCAACATGGAGGTGACCCACACCTGCCTCCTCCGAGCTGCACACACATTTTCAGTTCTGAGAAGATGAAGTGCTAGAACTGGAGCTGTCGCTGCCAGATGACGAGTCCGAACTTTCTGAGCCAGGGTTCATTGCAGCCTTTTTTTGTGCTACAGCCCTTTGCTTTTGCTTCTCTGCCCATTGCTTTCTTTTCTCAATCAAGCAATGGGCATCTGGCACCCCTGTGAAGCGCAAGTTTGCCCCATCTGGAAGTAGGTGGCTCTGGTCGCTCTGCCTCCTGGTCAAGGTAGTCTCCTCGTGAAGACCCAGGGGCCTAACATCATGGTCCCACCGCTCTCGCCCACTTTCAGACCAAAAGCCTCGGCGGTATGCAGGGGCAGAATCCTTGCTGGGCAGGAGTTCCAAATCACTGGTGAGATTGGTGGCTGCAACCATGTTGGAGAAGACATGGTTGAACACCTTGACGCCCAGCCTGCTGGGACCTTGAGCCACTGGAGCACTGGAAAGACAATATGTTCGAGTAATGTGAAATTTTTTCGCCTGCAGGCGATATCTTTCGTTCGCCGGCTTTTTCTGGGAACCGACATCATTGATGATCACCAACAACGGGGCAGTAGCGTCTGCGCTGCGTGCCGCCTGGTTTTTGCCTGCAAGAAACTTGCACAAGTCGGCAATCTCAACCAGGTCAGTGCCTTGCTTGCGGGCATCTTTCACATAGCGCTCAAAGATGGCAAATAATCTGTCTGCCTCGCTCTTGAAATGTTTTTCCACACCGTAGTGGACACATACTCGAGCTTGGTGCTGCACTGGCAGGACGCAGCAATAGTGGTGCAGTGCTTCGTAGGATCTAAAGTGCGGCCCGGCATCCGAAAGAAGATGAATGGTGTCCACCGGGTTTGTTCCCCTGCGTTGTCTCAGTGCCTGGTCGATGCACTGAGATGCCCGACAAGAGGTGTGATCCAAAATGTCTGATAGGATCAGAACCCGGGTCCACTCCACAGTGCCATCTCTTCTTCTTTCACTTACGACAGATCCAAAAATTGAGATTTCCATCCGTGCGTTTGCGAAGAACTCTTCTCCAGTCTGTGTGCTGCGGACTGGCAATGTGAAGAGTTCTTTGAAGTCTGACAGGACAACCACGGTACCTGCAGGAGGCTCCACCAACAGGTTTGTCAGCACTGGCTTTTGAAACTCATTGGCAGAACGATGGAAGAGGTAGCTGTCCAAGAGTTTTGACATTGCTTCCAGTTGCACACACATGTCCGCCTCCTTTGCGAAAAGGGTTACACGATTGCGCTGCGGGAAGCCGCTGCGCCTGTTCCGCAAGCAGCCCAAGCCACATGGCCAGGAGGTGTGCCTGTGTCGCCGACATGCCTCCTGAGCAGAATGATGCTCCACAAAATGCCGCAGCTGCCGCAAATGCAGGCCTGGCTTCTCAAGCAAAGAGTCATGGCCCTCAAACGCATCCCATTTGGCAAAATAGTTCGGCATGATGGCCGTGAGTTCGGAATGCACAGTGGCAAGCAAATCTTTCACCTGAGGGGCAGGTCTTCCAAATCTGACTACTTTCAGTTAAGCAACAAAAACAAAGCAACACAGAAGGCTTCGTGAGAGAAGTGGCTACTCCAGGCTACTCCATACTCTATATTAGTTACGCAGGCATGCATGGTTTGGGCACGCTGCCTGGGGAAGTACTTTCTTCTTGAGATCGTAGCAATAGATGCAATAGTCATTGATGCTATCCGCTTCTTTGAAATGTCTCAAATGCTTCTTTGCTAGACGCCAGAACGTGGACAAACCCAAAGATGCTCGTATCTCGGAACCTTGCTGCCAGATGCTTTTCTTGTCCTGCTTCAAAGTGCTCACGATCTTCCACTCCTGGTCCTGCGGGTCCCACGACAAACGGCTGCTAGGCTGTGAGGCTGCTGACAAAGCTTGCTCCACCATCTCTATGAGCTGTGGGTTGTTCTTCTTGTCAGGTCTTCCTCGCTTCCTGAGAGCGGGCTCTCGGTTCTGCTCTCCGGCACGTTTCCAGCGGATCCCCCCCATGCTAAAGCCGAATTCAGCTGCGCGGGCTTGAGTGCCACAAAATTCACGCACCATCACATCCACATGCTCCCTAACCAAGCGCACTGCATCCGGTGGGTTTGGCGAAGCAAACCCGGGGCATTTTGACAGGCGACCCAGAAGAAAAGACGAGATGGAAGTCAATGACCCACTTGATTCACCAGACACGAGCGAGCCAGCACCTCCGATGCGTTTGGACACTGCAGGCAGTATGTCTGGCCACCTCTGTGATAGCTGCTGCAGCACATGTGTGACATCAGTAGCAGCATCCTCACTGGTGACACACCTGTCTAAGCAGCTTTGCAGAGACTTTCTTCTTCGCCATCTCTGCACTCTGCCTGCCGGCTGTTTCTTGAACTTTGGCGACTTGATCACTTTCTGGCGCGCGTTGGTCGAGGCTGCTTTGGCTTTTGGCTTCGCACTGGCCTGAGATTGCGCAGCTGCCCGCTCGATGAGCTCAGTCCGCTGGGCCTTGCTGAGGGTTGTCCATTTTTCTTTCCACACGTAACCCTCCAGCCAAAGTCGCTGAGCTGCATTGAGCCCACGCCCGTCCACTGCTGCTGCTGCAGCTTTCCCTCGCGGCCGTTTGGCTTCTCCAGGCACGGCTTCCCGAGCACGGGCTACTAGGACCGGACCTTCCACATCATCCTGTAAAGCTTCCTTCAACAGCAGCCGCATGCCAGCCATTGCTTTCGGCGTCTTCCCCATCGCTGTAGAAAAAAAGAGTATTCGTAGGGTATCGACAGGGGTCAAACTGGTCTTGGCATCACATGACAAGTTGGGCCTATACAGAGGGGTATCGATAGGGTATCGATAGGGCTATCCTGAAGACCTCCTCTGATCACTAGATTTCGGGCCAAGAAAACGTAAGATTCTGAAGGAGTGGCTCGTATGACTCGGCTGTTATCAATGACCAACCAGCTCCACTACCACAAGCTACCCTGCACTGGCATAGCCCTCTTCGTTGGGCAAACCACTACCG